CTCATGTAGGCGTGTACGGTGGTCTGAAGCAAATCCCTGTGTATTACACTCATGTAGCCGTGTACGGTGGTCTGAAGCTTCGTGATGTTTCTCAGCAGCTAAACAGAGTGATTCCACATTGTTGGAGGATCAATCGGCGCAGGGTAAATCAGTTAACGGGATATGAACGGAATCTTGAGTGGATTGCAGTTCCGGATACACCGGGATGCAAAAACGTCTCGATGAGTGCTCTAAAATTGCATTCTTTACAGTTTTCTGTCATTTTCAAGGTGGTGATGGTGACTATTTTATGGTACAGTAAACCCTGTCTCAAACATGTAATTTTATACTGTACATACATTCCTCTAAAAAGCTAGCCACTGAGATTTAAAATATAAAAATGATGATGTTTTGACCAATTATGAATCAAATCAATGATTTTGGTATTAAATGATAGCAATCAACAGTGCATAACATTTAAATTATTATGTATTGTAATTAAGTATTTAAGTGGGTTATTAGTATTTATTAAAAAAATACTTTTTTAAAAGATATGCATGTATTTTATTACGTATTGATTGTAGTGAATTATGACATGGGAAATGTAAAAAAACATGGAAATTGGTACATGGATAGATTTTTAAAATCTTTTATCAAGTACGTGTTTGGAACAGGTTCGTTAAGATTATATTGTTAATTTTAAATTTACATAATATGCATAATTTATGAATAATTACTGTTGCACATTACACCCTTTATGTATTATTAAACTTCTTTGTGTTTAAGCTATGTAATATTTTCGATATCACATCCCAAAAACCACACCATTTATCGACAACTACTAGTATATTTGTCCATGTAAACCTTTTTGAGGGTGTGACGTCACCGAACAATCATCTCCAATGATGGGTATGCTTCTAAACAAAATTTGCAACAATTGTTTTGAAAACCATTTCATAATATTTATACCTCAAACAATATTCTTGTGTCATTAATTGATAATAATTATTAGCATTCTAATGGAATTAGCGATTATTGATTAAAATGTTTGGCACTTTAGACTAGATTTTGCAATTCTTTTTCAAAAACAGATGAACATACACGATTCCTACCTCTAAACGGTTGAATAGATTGGAAGAGTGACGACTGTGTCGCTTAGAAAACCATTGTGACTCAACTACATAAAATGGCACACTAACAATAGTATATCGGCTTCGAATGTTTGTAAACAGAATGAATATACAAAATAAATTATTCTTTATGTTATATAGTCCTGAACAAGCAAGCACAGACAAAACGTAAGTAACACCAGGATGATCGATATGAGAGGGAATTCTTCAATGATAACTGATACAGTACTCGCATCTATAATAAAATGCTTTACGAAAACCAGGGTCGACTGGCGCGTTCAACAAGACGGCATCTTGGTTATTGCTAGTATATTCGCCTATCGAAAACCTATGCACACGAAGTATGTGCTAACAACTCACTCTATTCACAATGGTTTATATGTATATTATTATCATATTAATGCATTAGTTTGTTAAATATATTTATGATTACAATACTGTTGAGAAGAAGTTCATTACCAACACAACTATCATCGGTAAGTCAAGTTAAATGAATCAAAAATATAATATGTGCATGTACACACTAAATGTGAGACGTATTAGTAATACTGAACGAACAGCCATGGTATATTAGTGGCCGTTAGTCCGAACCAAGACTGATCACTTTGTAGTCGTCAATAATGTCAAACCTCAATAAAATTTCGACAAATGCTTACAGCCTGGCTTATATTTGATTTTATCAGATCAAGGTTTACTTTGTGTTAACTACGACCTCCCTACGGCCAGTACAATGTAAGCGGTTCTTAGTTTGATGAAAACCTTGTATGGTGTCGGTATGACGGTAAAGGAAGGAATTCCCTCAGTACTTGGTTC